AAAATACCGTCTATATCTAATCACACTTTATAAAATATATTTCTCCTACACTTAAGTACATAGGAATATCTATTGGTTATGAGAAGAATAGCAATATATCAATATACTTTTTTCCATCTTTGGTGGTGCACTCTTTTGCGTAAAATCTTCAAAGCAAATAGCTTATCTCTTTAAAAACCAGATGGCATGGTAGGTACCCTAATAATCATAGCCACTTATCAGTTGCAGGCACTCTGAATGCTGCTATTGCTGGAACACCAAACATAGATTTCTGCTCCCAAAATAATCTATACATAATTATACTGAAAATAAGCTCTCATTCACAAATAGCAAATTAAAAAGAACAGTGCCATAAGGCTCTACAATACTTTAAGGTTGTAATCTCTTTTACATTACCTTTATAGTTTGTTTGTAGTCAATAGGATGATTCCGTCACACTCACTAAAAGGAATCAAGTTGCAAATGCAAATTTATGTGACTATTGATGTCCCTGATTTACATAAAAATCTGTGATGCACATCCAAGATCTTGTACTGACAAATAGATCAAATGGTGAACTCCATCAACCGTGCCCACATGATTTATGAGTAAATTTTACCATGATGGACTGTTATGCCCTTCAGAAACTAGGTTACTTGAATTGAATATTTTGTGTAACACAATTTATGACAAACTATACAAATGATTTTCACAAGACATGGTGAGGAAGTTTGATTTTAAAATTTGATGACAGTGTACATCAGGGGAGTAGCCTGCTTCTCTGAAAGACGTTGGAAATCAATGTTATAGTACCATAGGGTGCTCTTGGTTTTCCACAATTTTCACTTGAGGATTCAATCAAGTGTTTTTCATCATTTATCATATTATTCTCTCTCCAAAATACTAGCTTATTTTACATATGTGAAAACTAAGTTAAAGTTAATGACATTCATTCTAAATAAATTCACCTTCCAGCACATGTTAAATAAGAGCTGAAAAGAATCAAAAAAAAGTATTCATAAAATTTCCTGAAAATTGGAGACTTGGGAAAGTTTTGAGATGCATATAGAATGTCTTATTCATCAACACATATTTGTTGTATTAACTATGTTACTTTAGGAAAGAACATATTCTATACTTACTTTGAAGCTTTTTACTTTATCTTCTCTTTTACTTTACATATATTATTACATTTGTTTTCACTATTCAGCTTCTCTTGAGTAAGTTATTATTTTCTTTGCTTAAAAACTGATGTCTTGGAATGTGCTATGAACTGAATTCTGCACCCCACATATTTATGTTGATGTCCCAATTCCCATTGTGACTAAATATGAAGATGGGGCTTTTAGGAAGGTCATTAAAGTTAAATGGAGTCATGTGGAGAAACAATGGTGTCACAGACTGCCAGACACACCTGTGGAATAAGATGAGGTCAAGATGACCAGAGCAGGAAGCACACTCACATAAACAGGATCTGAAGGTGGGCCTCGAGGTTACATGACCATCGGCCAGACCTCCTGGGATAAACCTTGAGCAAACTCCATTGGTTCTCCCTAGACCTATCATCTGGACACAAGGAATGTCCTTTCTGGTGTGGGCAGAGGTGGTTAATGTTCCTTGAAAACCTTACAATGTATAACTTTGATCTTTAACTTTACAATGTATGCCTTACCTTGATAATGTGTAACTTTCTTAATTATGAGCACTGCCCACATGATTGAATGCCACATACAGTTTCACAGATGGTTAGCAAAAGGTCACAGTAAGGTCTAAATTTATGTCATGTTTAGAATGGTTTCCGTATTGTCTAATGCTGACAAGATGGGAATAAAAACCCGGAAAAATAAAGAATGACACTGAAGCCTTGAGCTCAGTCCCTCACTCAAGTTTCTGTGACTCTGTTCTTTCCTCATGCAACATAGTATACAACAACTGTGTGGAATAAACAAATAAATGAATAAGATATTCCATATGCACCTCAGAACTTTCCCAAGGCTCCAGTTTTCAGGAACATTTGTGAATACATTTTTGATTCTTTCCAGCTCTTACTATATGGGAAAAGATGATAAAATACATTTGTTGCTTATTTTACTGTCAAAAAATACCTGAAATCAATAGGGAATTTAGAAATGAAATATATTAGTACTGACTGTTTTATGTTTATTTTAATATGCTATTCATTCTCTTTCCAATTGTGTTAAGATATGGGAAAGCTTGATATTCTTATATATGTTGGTATGTGTGTTAATGTATATACATGTTGGCAAGTGTGTTAATGTATTTATACATGTGTGTGTGTATATATGGGTCTTATCATATAACTTTATATATTATGTTGCAATTTTTTATAACTTTTTATGACTTTAGTCTTAAAATAGTTATTTAACTTTTAACAAAGTTAGGCACCACTACGCTTATAGGTCATTAGAATGAGGCTTATTAACAATAAAAGTAACCATCATGAAAACAACCTCCACAATTAGAGATTAACAAAAGAAAAGATCTAGAAAGTAGACATCTGGAAAGGGTTCAGAACTAAGCTTTTGAGTCAAAACTGTATTGTAGCATGTCCTAGACAGATTTTAAAAAATACCTTAAGTAGGGAAATATGCATCATAATATCCATATGTGGATTACCAGAAGTACATACTAATGTATACAAACAGTATCATATGCACAAGTGAAATGTAAACAACTCAAAATCTTCATAGAATATAGAGGTAAATGTTCAAAGAATGGTGAGACTTAATTGAGTTATCCTTATATTGATCTAAATTTGCTTTAAATTTCTAAATAAACCACCAAATCTATTATATGCTGGTAAAAATGAGAAACTGTGCTAATTTCAACTTTTCTCATTCAGAGGTTTATTTTTTTTTAAAGATTTATGTATTTATTCATACAGAACTGAGGTACAGGCCAGAAATGCGGAGGGTGAGAGGACTCACCAGAGACAGAGTGGGGTACAGAACAGGCAGATCGACGAAGTACACTGCTGAGGGGAGCAGCGGGCGCGTCAGGAGAGGTCTGCCACGCCATGTGGATCTCCTCCAGGGCAGACCGGGATCGAACTCATGCGGAACTGGCTTAAGCTTCTTAGTGCTGTGCTTTAACCCACTGCACCACCAGGGTGGGACCAGAGGTTTATTTATTCATTTTTTTTAAATAATAATGTTCACTTGTTTAACATCTTCATGTACTATTACCCAAAAAAAAGGCAGGTTTGTTATCTTAAACTACAATTTCTATGGACAGCTGTCTGAATTTAATTATTGTGAAAACACAGCAAAAAAAAAAAATTATCTTCCTATATAACTTCCCACGTTAGAAGTGACATTGGAATATAATATTATTTATTTAATATTTTTCAACAAGACAGAAGTAGTTGATTCTAAATGACTAAGCAACTGGAATTTTTTAAATAAGTTAAGGCATTGAATAATGAATTAGTTCTCAAATATTAAAAGGTAGAACTTGCAGAAGTCAAAAAAAAGTTTTTATTATAGGAAATAAAATCCACTTTTAAATGAATTCAATTAGTAATGAAATAATAAGCCTTTGGGAAACATAAAATACTATTTAGAGAACAAAGGCAAATTCTAGTTTTTAACAAAATATTTATAAAAACTAATGGAGAGAAATGACAAAATTTAATGATATTACATTATTTTCTCAGTCAACTTTCTTAAAGGTTAGCAACTAAATCTTACATGCTCAAATGAAAGTTCTTAGTTCCTATCTTACCATGTATATTGCTTGAGACACCACTAATCTCCTTTTCCAAATCCTTAGCTTCTTAAACTCTGTGACATTTTTCTCTTTCAATTCTACTTCTTCAATTGCTACTTCTCAGCTCCTTTTCTTATGCTACTTCTCAAGGGTCAGCAAATTTCAGTGTTGTGACCTACTCTCCTTGTTTTTTGCAGACTATTATCAGTAATCTGATCCACTGTATAATTCTTACCATCTGAACAGGTGTTTCCTATTTCAACATCTCAGGTTTGTTCCTCTCTACTGACTTTCAGGCCTAAATTCTCAACTGGCTGCTAATATTGAATGCATTTAAAAAGTAAAATCTCCCTTCCATTTCAAATCTCTGTCACCAGCTAGCGAGAAAAAACAAATTATTTTTAAAGAATTGAATCAAGCCCACTTGTGTATTATCCTTACTAAAGTCAACTGCAGCATCTAACACAAACTGTGTAGTAAAATCCGCTATACTCATCATTCAAGGGATATGCCCAACAAATCCACTAAGGTGCCATCTTAGAATTTGTTGGGTCCTTTGCCTGGACAGACCTCCCCACCTCTCCCACAGAATCACATGCACACTTATATGTGAAAACAGAAAGAATGAGCCGTGAGTGCTGGAACAGAAAAACAGGAGGCACGAAGTGTTCCTGCCTTGTGTTTGCTACCTTGTGTTTAAGTGACTGTTCTTTGACCCCCATGTTATTGTCGCATGTTATTGACGCACTTGCCGAGAGCTTCCACCTCCCCCCAGCCACAGGTTCCATGCTAAAGGGTATAAATAGGGAAGGAGAGAAGAATAAAGTGTGCCTTTGCTTGCTGACCATGAAGTGTGTGCTTTAATCCTGACATCCTTCACTCAGACCATCTCTGCTGTCGTGCTGGTGCTGCAGAATTCTTCCTATTATGCTAGCTATCACTTTTTTCCCTCTAATTCTCAATTTCATAGCAGAATCAGTCATCAAGATGTAATTTGGCCAAGAATGGTCATTTACTACTTGTGGATTTTAATTTTTAATGCTAAATCTGTATTCCACCAGCATTCTTTCCATCTACCCTAATTCTTGAATTGTTCTTTCCAATTGTGCAAAGAGCAGTTAATAATCTTGCGATAAATGTAAATTCATCATTTCATTTGGTATTCATAGATATGTGTATATGTGTGTGTATATACACACACAAAGAGGGAGACACAGAGAGAGAGAGGACTTAATCCCTTCTCACTACTATCTCTTCATGGATTCATCTCTATCACTATTTTCCCCATTTACTCCAAACAGCAAACCACTTGCAGCCCCTGTTATAAATGAGTATGCTGATACCCAGCTGCACAACCTAGTGAGAAGGATGCGTCAAAGAACAGCGCTCTACAAGAGAAAGTTGACAGGAGGAGATATATCCTCTCCTGAAGCCAGCCCCAACACTGGTAAGCACTCTTTCATCAAAGTACTGGTGAGAAGAAAGTTATAAGAGGTATGTTCTCTTCGAGGTGTTTTAGTCTGGGTTCCTTAAACAGCAAATCCTGTGATTAAGGAATAATTGTTTATTTTGAAGATAATACAGGAAGGTAGAATATACCAGAGAAAAAGAGATGGAAATTCAGATGTAAAGGTATGTTAATTAGACACTTAGGTAGAATATACCAGAGAAAAAACGGGAATTCAGATGTGAAGTTATGTTAATTAGACACTGCTGTGGACCAACCAAGACTTGACTCAGCTGAAAACATCTAAAGATCACACATAAGAATTATGCTGAGAGGGCCCTCCCTGGTGGTGCAATGCATTAAAGCACAGTACTATGAAGCTCTCCACAGCAGCTGCAGCATAAGTTTGATTCCCAGCCAAGAAGGTAATCCACAGGCACAGCAGACCTCTCCTGACCAATCCACTGCTCTCCTCAGCAGTATATTTCCATCAGTCTGCCTGCTCTGTTCCCCACTCTGTCTCTGGTGAATCCTCTAACCCTCAACACCTCTGGCCTGTATCCCAGTTCTTGTATGCATGAATAAGTAAATAAATATTAAAAAAAAAAAAAGAATTATCCTGAGACAAGCAGAAGCTGGGGCATCAGTCCACCAACTCCTGTCCTTCAGTGACTGAGGATTGCTATTGGGCATTTTTCTTATTCCTCAGCATTTTAGACAAGCCAGCTGGGAGAAAACCCTCAGGCAGAAAGACACCGGAGCACACTGCACATGATCACAATATCTGCTATAGAAAATATTATTGTAAATATTAACTAAGAATACCCACTATATACAAAGTATTTTTTATAAAAACCCTGAGTATGCAGTAGAGCAAAGAACATCAACACACTAAATAATGTAAGTGGAGGAGAAATTATTTATCTCTCAAATAAAGGTGACAATATATTTATAAAAACAATAGTCAATATATTAGAGCACAAAAGTGATAAATACTTACTATGGTTACAACTATGTAAAAAAAATGTAAACATCAACCAAGAACAGGAAAATTTGATTGCCAAATATCAAATAAATAAAAATAAAATTGATAATTACATAGGAGGAGTTGAGGGTTTGTGTATAGTTCTATGCAAAGAAAGTGCAATTTCCAAAATAAACTATATACTTATAATAGTTTCCTTTTAAATAGAAGAAACTAAAATAAGTCATGGTCATTATAGCTTGATAAAGATATACTGAAAAGAATATTTTAAACTTTATCCATAGTTTGAAATATCTGTATAGTATTAAAGAAGCATGACACTAAAACCTGTGGAATAGTGTAAAGTAATGTTTCTGTTCGATGTAAATCTAAAATTACTACTTTTTTTAAGGCCAAATGTATGTTAGAACCTACATTATTTAATGTATTTAATGTATTCCATTTAAAACATATTTGGGACAATTAGTGAAATTTAAAACTGTTGCTCATTTCCAAATTCTACTACTTTTATATCTGGGTGCTTTCAAAATGATACTATTTTAAATATCATAACATGCCTCATCTACCTGTATTAACATAGGATGTTTCTGGAATGTTCAAGAATTTGAAGCTTTGTGTTCATTAAGCTGACTTAAGTTAACCTTTTAAAAACATTTTTTCTTTTCTTTTTCTGTATTAAGCTAAATCCAGAGCTAAATCATCAACACAAGTCAGTGATGCTAAAGTAAAAGAAGAACATTACTATGGCATGTTGTGTTGCAAGTTCCAGAAGCTGCCTTTAACAGAGTACCTAAAGAGAATTAGACTTCAAAGAAGCATAGACTCATACACAGGTACCATCAAAGAGTGGTCTATCTCAGTTTCAGGCCTGGCTACTAACCCAAACCAAGACCCCAAAGTCATAGATGGCTTCCATTTTCCCTAGCCCACACTCAGAGTCTTTCTGGAAAGCAGAATTTAAGCTACAAAATCTCCAATGGCTTATTTTCACCACTCTGTTAAAAAAGTGATAAAACATGCCTTCCTTTTATTAAAAGGCAGTCCATGCCCAAAATAGATGACTGCATCAAGAAGATGAGGTATATACACAATGGAGTACTACTCAGCAATCAAAAAAGATAAACTAATGCCATCCACTGAGCATAGATGAAATTATGCTCAGTGAAATGAGCCAGAAGTAAAAAGAAAAATATCGGGATGGTTTGACTTATAGGAGCAACATAGGGGAATCATACAAGTGATGAAGGAAACAATAATAACAACAAAAAACAAAACAATACTAAACAGACAACTATAAATCATTCTACAACAGAGGAGGAGAGAGAGGAATCAAAACGAGGGCAGGAAGAGCATACGGGACTATAGTAATAGTGCACAGGTGAATTGGTTGTGGAAATTCTATGGGGAATACACCTGAGAAAAGAAAGCAAACAAAAAAAGAGCAATAATACAAAATATATATAAATAAATCATTTAAACCAAAAATACATAAATAAAAGGTAATCCAAAGCCTCTCCTGCCCCAACTGAAAAAAATTACCCAAATATTCAGCAGTATGTATACTGATAACATCACCAAAAGCAGCCAAAACATTACAAAATGGCTTCACATTATTAATTAGATTAATTAAACAAATCATCTCCTTAGAGAGAGGAAAGCAATGTGTAAAGAGACTTGAACCCCCCTGCTGGGCTAATTCTCTGCCCTCCCCATTTCAGCCACACTACCTCAGGCAAGATATGGCCTTTCCCTTACTGGCCCAGGCACATCCTGCAGATAAGGCTAGCTGCTGAGTTGTCCTAGCAGGACACAATCTGATTCTTCTTGAGTTTCCACTTTCCTGATCTAAATGGTACAGTTGCCTGTACTCAGAGTAATCACCTGTCTAAAGAAAGGATGTTCCAATGGCAAGAAAGATGATAAAGTCACTTCATATCATTTATATAGCCCAATGCCTCCTGCTATAGAGGCAGAATTGTGCTGAATATTTAATACAGTGTCTTGTAGAAAATTGCTTATCACCAAAGCATAGTGAACCAACTTCACCAAACTAACAGAGAATTATCTTCATTATTGTTATATGCATTCGGACTACTTCAATTACTGTTTTTTCTAGATCGACTCTATCTCCTGTGGCTTTTATTTGTCACCATTGCCTATAACTGGAATTGTTGGTTTATACCATTGCGCCTTGTCTTTCCCTATCAAACACCAGACAACGCATGCTACTGGCTTATTATAGACATTGTCTGCGATATCATCTACCTTTGTGACATGCTATTAGTCCAACCCAGACTCCAGTTTATAAGAGGAGGAGACATAATCGTAAGTAAGATTCAGAAGACTAAAAACCTCACAAAATTTATAATTTTTATAAGTTTATATAAACTGTAAAATAACAACATTGTTTTCGTTAATGTCTGACTGACTGCATGGATGGGTCATTAACCACCAGAAACCACAGTAACAGCAAAACAACCACTAAGGACTCACTCTGTGCTGGGGACCATGTATCCCTCTGTGCCCTAGTTGGTCATCTTTGAAATAAGAGTAACACTAGTTGCTTCATAATATCTATGGGAAGACTGAATTGGTGGCATGTAAAGGACCTGGAACTGTGTCTGGCATTTGATGAGTATGTGTTAGATGTTAAATCATTATCATTCTACTTCATTTACTTACAATGTACCCTTTCAGCCACCTTATGAGGAAAGAAGTATTTGACCTATTTACTGATGAGGAAACTGAAATTTGGAGAGGGTGAGTGATTTGTTTGAAGCACAAAGATTTGAAGAAGCAAAGACAAGATTTAAGTACAGGCTTATTACAGCTACACCGTACTGGTTCCACATGGCAAGATTTTCAGAAATGTATAATATTTAAGGATAATGCCAAGTCTGAGAAGTTGAAACTATATGCATAGTTTAACCTAAATGACATTTGAATATGTCTTATCAAAGCAAAAAAAATTTTTTTGATGTTATGAGAAAGCACTAGTTATACATTTTTCAGGAAACAAACTGTGTCTTATTTAACTTTTTATAGTCAACACCATCTACAATGATACATATAGTAAAAATATCAAGACCAGGGTTTTAGACCTGGACACTCTGGGAAAACCTAACTAAAAATAAACCTGTCATGACCCTTTTTATCAGAGTAGACTCACTGCACTCTTCAAGTAGTACCACTAGTCATATGTGTCTATTCAAATTTAATTTTTTTTGTCTTTAATTTTTAGATCTGTTGGAAATTAAGGCAAAAACCAAAAAAGTGCAAAGTTAATGTAACAATAAACTGAATGATAAAACAATCTTGAAAACATGTAATTAAACAAACTTTAGGACTAGGATATAACACAATAGAATTTGGGAGAGATAAAACAATAGCTCTTGTGGGAGATTTTAATGTACCCCTCTCTGAGATTTAAATATAGAGAAATTAAATCTAGATAACATTTGAGAACCACAACAAGCTTGATCTAATATGTGTGTGTGAAACCTTTCACAATTCATTCATTTTTTCAAATATATATTTGCATTAATGTTCATTTTATAACAATGTTTACTTCCCCTCTCCCCCTCCCATCATCACCATAGCTCCCCCCATCATCATAGCCCCCCTCCACATTCTTCCCTCCTTCTGATCCCTCTCTGTCCCCCTCCCTCTAGGATCTCTCTGACTTATAATTTTTTGTTTTTATATTGTTTTGTATTATAGTAACAATATACTTTTTCCCTTCTTTTATTTGGTTCTCTTAAATTCCTCCCATAAGTAAAACCATTGATATTTTTCTTTTTCCTTCTGACTTATTTCATTTTATATATATACACACATCATCTATTTTTTGGCATTTGGGTTGTTTCCAGGATTTACCTGTTGTAAGTAGTGCTGCGATAAACATAAGGGTGCATGTATCTTTTTGAATTAATGTTTTTGTGTCCTTTGGGTAGGTCTCTAGGAGTGGAATTGCTGGGTTGTATGGTAGCTCCATTTTGAGTAGTCTGAGGAATCACCAGACAGCTTTCCATAGTAGTTGCACCAGTTTGCATTCCCACCAGCAATGTAGGAGAGTTCCTTTTTCACTGCATCCTCGCCAACATTTATCATGTTAACTTTTTTATATGTGCTATTCTCACTGGTGTGAGGTGATATCTCGCTGTGGTTTTGATTTGTGTTTCCCTAATTATGAGGGATGCTGAACATTTTTTCATATGCCTGTTGACCACCAAATTTAAAATTGAAATAATTAAAATAATTTCAACATTTAAATTTCAGGTTTCTCAACTATACAGCCATATTTCCAGGCCCAGTAGCCCCATATGGATAACAATTACTTTATCTGGGTGCATAGAATATGTCCATTATTGCAAAAATTGTTACTGGATAGCACTATGAGGGATTCAGACAGCAATGAATCATCAAGCTCTCCATCAACAGAGCCAAACCACAGAAAGGAAGCCACATACCCCAAAGGCAGCTACAAATCACAAGCATATAAAACACCATCACTACTGTTTTGTTCTCTCCTTTTTTTTTTTTTTAATTAATATGACATCTACTGGCCCTTTTTTATTTACTCTTCACTTTCCAAACTTAATTGCATGCCATTTCTCAGCATCAAATGCAGTGGTCCACAAAAGAAACAAGTATTCTTACCCTTCAAGTGAAATCTTCTCCTCTAGGATTTACTCTCAGTGTTGAGGGGATTTTACAACCAAATCCAAAGTCAAAAACAGAATATGTATTCACAAGCACATACCCAATCTTTTAACTTCTACTACTTGGTCCCTTCCCCAGCTAAGAGAGAGGCACCTTTTTAACTGTTGTCACCAAAATAACCTCTCACATTCCCAGCAAGGGTCACACAGAAGAGCTCCTCAAATGTCACAATAGGAAGAGCACAGTGACCAAGTGGCATTGTGGGTTTACTTAAGCTTTGGGAAAAGAGAGACAAATCCTTTAATATCTTTAACATTTTTTTAAGTCTCCAGGTGATCTTAAATTATCAAAAAAAAAACTGACAGAAGTTTGGTTACTAATTTTTAAAATTATAATACTTGCTGGGAAAAGCTCCCAATATTTGAAATCTTTCTTAGAAAGAAATACTAACAAGAGCTTAAGCTATATCCAAAAAATCTATTCAAATTATTCCTTGTGTGAGCTTGAGAGAATTAGTTATCTCCCAAGTACTATCCCTAGAGCTCACAGACGGTGTGATGAATGATGATGATGGTGCACAAATAAGTAATAAACAAACACCAAAAAAAGGAGGAACAAAAAGAATACTAATTTCAACCTCCATTAGATGCACAAGGGGGGAGAAAATCAATGATTGATAAATGGAAAATGATAAAATCAGTAAAGGAAGACTTTTATTTTCAATTTTCTGAGAGGCTTTTGTACACAATGGAGTGTTAATACCAGGAAAAATAGCCAATAAAAGCCCACTCAATAGGATCTATTTAAAGTGCATTATGTGAGCCACAAATATAGAGCAGGAACTAATTGCTTTGTTTGTTCAAAGTAATGGGGTTTTTTATTATTATTATTTAAAGTATAATACTTGATTATATCTTGGTGAGTTTGATTACATACAAAACTTGATTACATCTTGGTGAGAAGACTATGTAAGTTAAGTACCAACCTGAAGTTCTCACTACATTTAACTATCTATACTACCTTTGGTATACACCACCACATTTTTCATTCATTCCACGAACATTTATTAAAAATCTACTTGTCCAGATATTCCAGTGTGGGAAAATGGAAATCATTAAGTCTACAAGGGCTTAAAGAAATACAGAGAAAAACTAGACAACTGATCGAGATGCTAAAGTCCACAGTAAAGAGAATTGGAAAGAGTTAACATATTTTTTCACAGCATTTATTTGCAATATTTTTCTTTGGAAAATGTTGCTGCTATACAAACAAAGAACAAAAATTTCAATCAAGGACCAACAAAACGTGCATTGTTTGTAATTTCCCTTATACATATCAGAGGATTGAAATAATAGTGAGAATTAGTGAGATATGAAGGTCTCACATCTGGGAGTCTTTGCTAAACCTACCAATCCAAGGTCCATGGAAAGACTCAGTAATGTCTACCAGAGTGTCAATCAAGCTTTCCATTATAGTCAGCTGCTTTAAGTATTTAGTTTTTTCATTTACTAGTAACAAACTTACCAGAAGAAAATTACCCACTCCCTTCTCTATTATCTGTAAACTTCATTCATGCTTCTGCTATTTAATTGCTAAATAATAATTAGCCAAATTGTAATATAATAGAAAAAAAACAGACCATGGTAAAGTCCCATCTCTGAAATTTACTAACAGCATTACTTGCAGAAAATTAATTTACTCTTTCATTGAATGCTATCTTTTTCATCCATGAAATGGTAATAGCAGTATCCACTTCATAACCTATTGTAAAGATTAAATAAAACAATGTGTACACTTAACCCAGTCCCTGGCACTAGAAGATATGTAGCAAATTGCTAAATGAATCACATGAATGAATGTCCAGAAAACTAATCTAGTCTCCTACTTGTATAGAAAATAGAGAACTCTCTTACTTGGTAATAAGGTTGTTGAGAGTTGGAACAGTACCTGATTTCCCTAAATTTCCTAAAAATGCAAAGAGTATACTCAAAAATGTTTGAAGGAATGAGCAAATGATAATCTTGTTTCAAAAATATTTATTCTTAGAGTAATTATTGTAACTGTATGGTCTTTTTATTAGATTATATAATTTTTGAAACATTTGTGTTTTATGTGCAATTATGAAGCTTATATGCATTGTTTATCAGAAGAGGTAAAGAATAATACAAAAATACCTGAGTAGAGCTTCTTCAAAATCTACATGCTAGAAAAAGATTTAAGTGTAATTAGCATATCCTTTTTAAATAAGCCTTCTCTGAAGAAATGTTGCCTGCATAGTGATGAGGCTAAAAGACAGAGAAAAATAAATCAGGTGACATTTTAAAAATAAGAGCCTAATTGTTACCACTAATTATGTTGATCCTCATAAAGTTAATAATGCCACATTTATTTAGTGAGCCTAGGAAGTGGGATTTTAAAATTGCTAGATGGCATTTTCATTTAATCTAGCAAGTTTTCATTTTATACATTTATTAAATCATAGACAATACTGAAAAGGAGGGAATAAATGTACTAAAAACATTCTTCCAGATATGTAGGAAAGGTGCTATTTTAACTTACATTAAATGTCTACCTATTACATATATTCTTTGAAGGAGCTGACTAATTTTATTGAAGCTTAATATCTGTTTAAACTTAGACCTGTGGCTCGGTAAGCCATTTTATTTCACAGGAAAAAAAAATCATTAAAAGAACATATCATTTTTTTCTAATACATTTCTGTAAAATTAATTTATATACATGGGTAAAACATATTGCCAAAAATGGAAGAAGTTTGAGGCAGGAATTGGGAAGCTGGCTAAGAATCTTTAACACTACTGAGCAGTTAAGTTTAAAACCAATGAACTTGAATAGGCTAGATTTTTGTTAGAACATAATTGTTAGAAGATACTGCTTTCCAGGTATAATACTTTGGCCAACTAATCAATAGTACATAAACAATTCCTTCCTACATATAACTAAAATATAAGACTGTTAATTCAATATTAGCATTAATTCTTTTAGGTACGAATGTTAACAAATGTTTCCTTGAATGGTAGCAAATTCCTCTAGCATTTATCACATTTATTGAGCACATACTATATGCTAGACCTTGTATTAAGAACTGGAGAAACAGAGGACCATCTTAGGCAACATGACAGAGGAAAGAGATGAATCATAAACAGAGGAAATTTGTGGGTGTTATGAGGCATAGAGAAAACCATGTGATGGTGCAGCTGGACCAAATCATCAAGGATGATGTTTCATGTTCTACTTCCACACAAAAAAAGAGGATAAAAGTATGATCTGAGCTCTAAGAATAGTAAAAGCAGGTATCAAGGTGAGAAACTTGTTTGCTATGGAGTGGAGGAACTACTAAACTGAGTTGTTGTGGGATAAACAGGAGAGAGTGAAACAGAGAAAGCAGAGCTTTGTTAAATTGTGAAAGACGCCTTGGATTTTTTGAGGATCATAGAGTCGGCCCTCCCTGGTGGCCCATCGGGTTAGGACGCAGCACTGCAAGTCGAACCCAGCCACTTCAGTTGTGAGTGAGACCCACATGGCGCAACAGACCTCTTCTGTCTCACCTGCTGCTCCCCTCAGCAGTGTACTTTGTCGATCTGTTTGTTCTGCTACCCATTCTGTTGCTAGTGAATCCTTTCATTGTCCCTGCACCTCTGGCCTGTACCCCAGTTCTGTATGCATAAATAAATAAATCTTCAAAAAAATCATAGTCATCGGATCTGACAAAACAGGTATTATTAACAAGCCTCTGGCTGCCATTGTAGAGGAGATCAAAGGAAACAAGTCTCAAGATAAGAAAACCAATGCAAAAGGGAAAGAATGAACAAGAGATAATTTTAGAAAGCAGAATCAGTACAGCTGGATTGTTGGTTGATGAGAGATAAAGAAAAGTGGTTTGAGATTACTGACTAGTGTAGATGAAGATGCTTATAGGATCCTAAGTGGGAGGAGCAGGGATGTGGTTTAAGGGGACAGGAAAATGATGAATTAAAGTTTGGCATAAGTTCAATTTGATCTGAGCAGGACTGCTAAGTGAAGACAATGGGCAGTTATTTGTTCATATCTACAGATCCAGAAAGTGAATTAGATAGAAGAGGTTAAATAGCATCAACATACCAGGTGATCTCTGAAACTATGAAAGTGGATGAGATTTTTTCGGAAACAAGTTTAAAGAGAAAATAGCAGAAAGCTGAATTCTGGGAAAGACTGTCTTTTAAATGGTTAGCGTAATAATCCAAGGACATAGAAAGTTGGAACTGAGTAAGTGAACTGAATGAATGATTTTCTAAATTCCTCATAAGAGAAAGTTCCTTTCAACAAAATTTTTCAAAAACAAAATTGTCCAAAGAAAGGTCGGTGCTTTAAAGCTTTAAATGAAGAATGATGTTTAAAAAAAAAATTATATATATATACATATATATGTGTATATATACATATACACACACACACATAAAGAAAAAAAAGAGAAAGATCTGTGCTTCAAAAATTGTATCTATTGCTTTATTCCTTTATCCTTCCACTTATTAAATATTTATTGGTCTCTGATTATTCTAGCCACTAGTTATCTACATTTGCTAGGTAAAATCAACCTTATCCTGAAGTAGATCACCATTTAGAAGAGTGGACTGATTTTAAATAAATGGACAGAGTAATATATGTATGATTTTAAAACTGGTGCGTGTCAAGAAATTATGTTAAGTTCTATAAAGGGTCCTCTGAGTATAATCTTTAGGTCACTGGTGGTTTTCACACTAAAGTAGTCTTGAGCAAAAGTCAAATTTCCACCAATTGTCATGAGTTAAGGAATAAATAATGGGAATTTGGAGTGAAGTAATGAAAATGACACTGTTGAGGAACTTGAATGTGACAAGCAAAAAGGCAATAACAACAATAAATACCAAGTAAGCTATGGGAGAGTAGAGAATATTTAAATGTTGAAATTGGAAGGAACTAGTAGAGAGAAGTAGCTCTAAATATCCTTTAAAAATAAAGTAATTGATGAAATTTGCTAAAATTAATATGAAATATATTTCAGGTGGATACAGATGAGTTAAGAAGACACTACAGAAATACTATGAAATTTCAGGTAGGTGACTTACAATTTCACAATTATTCAAGTGATCCATTACCATTTTGACTTAAGAAAATAGCTCCAACTTAATGCTTTTGTAATTATAAGAACATTATTTTAGTGGCTATTCCATACACTTTCAACTTCTTGTAAAACTCAATTATTTGTAGTGTAAAATCAGTGAAATAATATGATACAGTGTAGTTTTTTAAACAATATTCATATTAAGTGTTTATAACAAACTCTTGACATTAGACTGCAAAATGGAGGTGGGAAGATTATTGGAATTTTATTGGTGGGTGTGGTGTGAAAACATATTTTTAAAGATTTGAACTCATAACATCCAAAATAAAAACAGTAATGTAACTCATTTTTACCTCACTAATAATAAGAGAAAAATAAATAAAATCAAGAATGGACTTGATTTTTAGCTGAACAACCCCATGTCTAAGGTATTACTAAAAATACTTTTCCATTAGCAGACATGCCATCTCTGATGCATATATGACAACTCAACAAAAATTCAGAAAACTCACTGTCTGAGGAAAAATCAGATGTACACGGGTGAAAATTAAACATGTAGGAAGTAGGTTGTGAAATAGTGTTCCTGTTTTCATGGTGCTAATGGGCCTCAGTGCATATTTAATTGAAGGCAACAAGTAATTAAACAACAAGTAATCTGGGATTATTGGTCACATTGTACATGCATTAGTACAAATTTATACATTAGTATAAATCTTTCTATATCCAAAAACATATATAAACACCACATAAATATGAATGTTTCCTTTCAATAGTTGGATGTTGCCTCAGTACTGCCATTTGATGTTTTCTACCTTTTCTTTGGGTTGAATCCAATATTCAGGACAAATAGGATATTAAAGGTAAGATGACTGTATTTAATTTTCTTCTTATAATACTAGAAATCCTGGAGTGCTTTAAAATATTCTAAAAATATGATATTCTTAATTTTTCCCAAAATCTCATCCAATTTTCTGCCCTCTTCTATAATGAGAATTTTTAAAATTGAATAAAGAATAAACACCATTGTCCTAGTGATGTTGTTCTTTGCTGTTTTTATTCTAGATATCATGATAGTTATTTTTATAATCTAACATAAAAAGACTTTTGTGCTTCTAAGAATAATTATAGGTAAAATGTACCTTTTATCCTTTTACTCTTTTCCATTTTTATTATATAATCACCGAGTATTTGAATTGTTGGCTTTAAAATTGGGAAGTTAGATTAGATGACCTCTAAGTGATCTTACGCTCATAAAATTCTTTAATATTAGGGGGAAAAAAACATAATAATTTTGTTATACAAAATTATTAGTAGTAGTAGTATTGAGTTATATATTATTATTGAGTTATTTGGAAATAACTCAAATGTCTATCAACAAGTAAGTAGCTAAATAAATGGTGGTATAACTATGTAACAGAATGCATTGTAACTTTATAAAAAAAAAAA